CTCCAGACTTGGATGACCAAATGGTGGAGGAGTTTCATTTCATCACAGTGAAGTTCTTGCCCCCTAATACCACTCCTCTCATCCAGCCCATGGACCAGTAGGTCATTTCAAACTTCAAAAAACTCTACACCATAGCAATGTTTCAAAGGTGCTTTGATGTGACTTCAGACACTCAACTGACCCTATGAGACTTTTGGAAAGATCACTTCAATATCCTCCATTTCATAAACCTTATAGGTAAGGCTTGGGAGGGAGTGACTTCCAGGATTTTGAACTCTGCTAGGAGAAAACTGTGGCCAGATTGAGTCCAAGAGAGGGATTTTGAAGGATTTGGGGCTGACCCTGAGGACCCTATGCCAGTTGTGGAAATTTGTGGCATTGGGGGATTCCATGGGGTTGGATGTGAGTTTAGAGAATGTGGAAGAGTTGGTGGAGGACCACAATGAAGAGCTAACCAATGAAGAGCTGCAAGAGCTTCATTGGGAACAGCAACATACCACAGCTCAGGAAATTGCTTCAGAGGAGGAGGGAAAGAGATGGAAGAAGGTGCCTTCTTCAGAGATTAAGGAGATTTGTGCAATGTGGAGTAGAATGGAAAGATTTGTGGAGGAACATCACCCTGACAAAGCTCTTGCAAGCTGTGTCGGCAACATGTACAACAATAATGTCTTGTCCCAGTTTAAGGAAATTTTAAAGAGATGCCAGAAACACAGCTCTCTGGACAGATATTTAGTGCCACAGGTGTGCAGTGACTGTCAAGCTGGTCCTAATGACATTAAAAAACAAATAAGGGAAATAACCCCAGAAAAGGACTTGGTACCTAAAGTCTTCATGGAAGAGAATCCCCCTTCCAAACAATAGTGTACCTTCATCCTCTCCCCTTCTCCGGTCTTCCATCCACCCAGAAGGTAAATGTAATGTTATTATTATTTTATATATGTTTCTTTCTTTCTTTCAACACACCGGCCATATCCCACCGAGGCAGGGTGGCCCAAAAGGAAAAACGAAAGTTTCTCCTTTTACATTTAGTAATATATACAGGAGAAGAGGTTACTAGCCCCTTGCTCCCGGCATTTTAGTCGCCTCTTACAACACGCATGGCTTACGGAGGAAGAATTCTGTTCCACTTCCCCATGGAGATAAGAGGAAATAAACAAGAATAAGAACTAGAAAGAAAATAGAAGAAAACCCAGAGGGGTGTGTATATATGTGCTTGTACATATATGTGTAGTGTGACCTAAGTGTAAGTAGAAGTAGCAAGACATACCTGAAATCTTGCATGTTCATGAGACAGAAAAAAGGACACCAGCAATCCTACCATCATGTAGGCTTTCGTTTTACACTAACTTGGCAGGACGGTAGTACCTCCCTGGGCGGTTGCTGTCTACCAACCAACTACCTATATTTTATACATGTATGTACTTGATTTCTCATTGTTTTCTGTATGTAAATCTTTATTTAATTCAATTTTTTGTTTAATATTTTTGGGTGTCTGGAACAGATTAATTGGATTTCCATTACAGTGGACCCCCGCCTTACGATATTATTTCATTCCAGAAGTCTGTTCGGGTGCCGTTATAGACCAAATTTTTTTTTTCCCCTAAGGAATATTGTGAATTAGAGTAGTCTGTTTCAGACCCCCAAAAATACACGTACAAAAGCACTTACAAAAATACACTTACATAATTGAAATTGAACTCAAATTAGCAGAAAGGTTCAATTTTTACTGATGTTCAAGATTATACAAATCATGTCAAGTATCCAATACACATCAACTGGTGGGTCTAATTGCTTTCACCAAAAGCGCTGATAATTTTTTACTATTTTTACAATAATGCAGTACAGTGGACCCTCGACCAACGATGGCATCGTCTAACGTTAAATCCGACTAGCGATACATTTTAAACCAAAAATTTTGCCTCGACTAGCGCTAAAAAACCTCGACCAAAATGATTCGTTTCGTCTGAGACGCGTCCACTTGTGGCCAGTGTTTACAAGCCAGCCACCCGCGGTCCCATCCAACATACAATCGGAACATTTCATATTATCACAGCGTTTTTAGTGATTGCACCTGCAAAATAAGTCGCCATGGGCCCCAAGAAAGCTTCTAGTGCCAACCCTACAGCAAAAAGGGTGAGAATTACTTTTGGATATGAAGAAAGAGATCATTGTAATATGAAAGTGGAGTGTGTGTCCCGAGTTGGCCAGGTTGTACACAAAACCCCATCAACCATCGCTTTCTATTGTGGCCAAGAAAACGGCAATCAAGGAAGCTGTCTTGCCAAAGGTGCAACTATGTTTTTGAAACTGAGATCGCAAGTGATAGAAGATGTTGAGAGACTGTTATTGGTGTGGATAAACGAAAAACAGATAGCAGGAGATAGCATCTCTCAAGCGATCATATGTGAAAAGACTAGGAAGTTGCATGAGGATTTAATTAGAAAAATGCCTGCAACTAGTGATGATGTGAGTGAATTTAAGGCCAGCAAAGGTTGGTTTGAGAGATTTAAGAATCGTAGTGGCATACATAGTGTGATAAGGCATGGTGAGGCTGCCAGTTCGGACCAAAAAGCAGCTGAAAATATGTGCAGGAATTCAAGGAGTATATAGACAGTGAAGAACTGAAACCTGAACACGTATTTAATTGTGACACTGACAATGTTGTGAAACACTTTAGGAATGTCATAAAGGAACGGAAGGTACAGGCCTCTATGGACAGATATGTTGTGTGACAGAGGTCCAGTGACTCTCAAGCTGGTCCTAGTGGCATTAAAAGAAGAAGGGAAGTAACCCCGGAAAAGGATTTGACACCTCAAGTCCTAATGGAAGGGGATTCCCCTTCTAAACACTAATACCATCCACAGTCTCCCCTCCTCCCATCCCATCAGTCATCACCAGATCTTCAGTAAAGGTAAGTGACATGTAATTGTACATGTCTTCTTCAGTTTGTGTGTATTAAAATTAATATTTCATGTGGTAAATTTTTTTTTTTTCAATACTTTTGGTTGTCTTGCACGGATTAATTTGATTTCCTTTATTTCTTATGGGGAAAATTAACTCGACTAACGATAATTTCGATTAACGATGAGCTCTCAGGAACGGATTAATATCATTGGTCGAGGGTCCACTGTAGTTTGCATAACAGTAAATCTTCTATTTTTTGTGTGAATAAAAATTCAAAATGGAAAGCAGGCATACTATAAGAGGAGCCTGAAGATGTGACTAATGAACAGAGAAAATGTTATTTAGTGTGCTAGGAATGTTTGCATTGTTAATTCTGGACCCTATTTTGAAATTGGTCTTCCTTGAATTATGTATGAAATTGGCCAAATTACCAATTTCTGATCACTTTAGTGGGTAGTTGAAATTGGTAAATGGGTGGTTTCTTGTACTCAGTCAACAGAACAAAAGGAGTTCTAATGAAATAGCTATGAGTTTGGTTGACTGGAACAATGGAATTGGCTGAAAATAAGGCTAAAAGTGAGCAAAATCGCCAATGCATAAATATTGTGATCTCTAACTTTACAAGAGCGAAATTCCACAAATTTTCCATCAAATTTTGTACTTTTGGTGTCATTACCATTGGGAAAAGATTTTCTATCATTTCATAAAAAATTTTTTTTTAAATTCTTTGACATTGAGAGGAAGTGTGTGAGCAGGGATCTCGACTGTGAAAGAGTTAATATGTCTGATTCAATTATTGGGATGCTGTAAACTCACGACTAATCTTTCCTGGTTATATTTTATTATCCAAGAAATAAGAATAAATCTACTTTTTTTGTTAATAAGAATTTAAAATGGAAAGCAAGTGTAATATAGGAGAAGCCACACAGACATGACTAATAAACAGAGGAAATGTTGTTTTAGTGCCAGTAATGTTTACATTGTTTATTCTTGACTTTTTAAATTGGCATTATTTTAATTTTGTGTGAAATTAGTCAAGATGCAATATTCTGATCACTTTATAGGGTAGATGATATAAATGAATAGGCAGTTTATTGTGCTCAATCAATAAAATGGGAGGCATACTAGTGAAATAAATAAGAATTTGGTCAACTGAAACAATGGAATTGGCCTAAAATTACTCACAGTGGGCAAAATTGCTGATGCGTAAATTGTGCAGAGATCACTAACTTTGGGCTAGCATTATTCTGTAAGTTTTTCATAAAATTTTGTACTTTTGGTGTTATTACCTTTGGAAAAAAAATTCCTTATCATTTCATAAGAATTTTTCTTTTGTTGTGAAAATTTTTGAACATTGAGAGCAAGTTTCAGATCAGATCTGGACAATGAATGGATTAATATCCACAGAAGAGATAGGGAAAGATGAACTGTAAATCATTCAATAAGCACAGACACACTTCACATACAGTGAAACCTCGGTACTCGACTAGCTCCCTACTTGAACAATTCGGTATTCGAACGCTTTGTTCAGTAAAAAAAAATCACTCGGTAGTCGACCATTTGCTCGGCACTCAACCAAACACAACCTGCTAGAATTTTGCTGTAAACTATGTATTTCGTGTTTCTTCATATTTTTTGGCTTTTTTTGTACATTATTTGTATAAATAAGTCATCATGGGGGCCTACGAAGATAAGTGATAACAGCCAACAAAAAAGAAAATTGGTTGGGAAAAATTCGTTTGGTACTCGAACAGAGTGGCATTCGAACAGCCTTCTAGAATGAATTAAGTTCAAGTACCGAGGTTCCACTGTACGTCACTTCCAGAAAAGCATTTGTAGGCATCACTGGTGGGAGGACAAAGGGTGATGCTGCGCCTCCCCAAAGCACTCGACCATAAATTTTCACATTACGGTTAGCAAGTTTTGTGGCTTTTTAGTGCAAATTGGTAATTCAGGAATCATTTGTCAACCCCCCAAAAATGAGCAATATGTTGGATAATCAAAACCCCTGAATTAGGAAACCAGTGAACTTGGGTGTTCAACTACAGTTAAGGAAAACATAAGCGCCACTAAATTGGTACAGTTTTCATAATTACCCATAATGAATGATGTCTGGTAAAACATGATGTTTTGAGCACCTGCGACTCTTGTCTATCTCTTCCTTTAGTTCCTCTGCAAAATATACAAACATTAATGATCAACATTAAAGGAATATAAAACAAAAATTCAGATTGTAATACAGGTCCTCTTCGATTTACAATGGGGTTATGTTCCGACAAACCCACTCTAAGTCATAAATGAATATGTTATCCTAAATAAAAAACTACTCCTAGGTAGCAGGTTGGTAGACAGCAACCACCCAGGAAGGCACTACCGTCCTAGGTAGCAGGTTGGTAGACAGCAACCACCCAGGAAGGCACTACCGTCCTGCCAAGTGAGTGTGTAACAGGAACATGTAATTGTTTTACATTTATTTATTTATTTTATTTATTTAATAATTTAGCATACATACAGAGGTACAAAAAAATACAGGTAAGAGCAGCATGCCAAAGCCACTTATATACATAGCATTACGGGCTGGCTTAAAATTAACTTAAGATTAACTAAGCAATGATGAAATCAGTGATAAAACATTATTGTAAACAGATAACTATAAAGCACAAGTGAGTATTACAAAGACAGGTCATATGGTTGCATGCATTGCTGTACATTCAGTCGAATGGAGTATTCTGTTAGGTAGTGTATTTAAAAAAATAAAGTTAGATTGGGTCCTAGGTTTAACATTAATGTGATATAATTGTGAGAAACATTTAAGATATACAAATTATAAGGTTCAGTTATTCAGTATTTATTTGGTTTTGAGTGAGTAAGTGAACTTTGAGAAGAGACTTGAATTTATAAACAGGTAGTGTTTCTTTTATATTTACAGGTAATGAATTCCAGATTTTAGGGTCTTTTATGTGCATTGAGTTTTTGCATAGCGTGAGATGGACACGAGGAACATCAAAGAGTGATCTGTGCCTTGTGTTATGGTCATGTGTTCTGTTGAGGTTGGCAAGGAGACGTTTGAGGGGAGGGTTAATATCAGAGTTAAGTGTTCTATGTATGTAATAGGTGCAATAATAAGTATGGATGTTTTGTATGGTGAGTAGGTTGAGTGTTTTGAATATTGGTGGAGTGTGCTGCCTGTAGTGAGAATTTGTTATCATTCTAACTGCAGCCTTTTGTTGGGTAATTAGTGGTCTGAGATGGTTAATTGTTGTTGACCCCCATGCACAAATTCCATAGGTGAGATAGGGGTAAATTAGAGAGTGATATAGGGCCAGGAGGGCTGACTGTTTAGCATAGTACCGTATCTTCGATAGTATGCCTACAGTCTTGGAAATTTTCTTAGAAATTTGTTGTATATGTGTATGAAATTTGAGTCTATTATTAAGGTGGATTCCTAAGAATTTTCCCTCTGTTAGCTTTGTGATAGGTGATCCGTTTTTTCATTATGCTAAGAGGGACATCTGTAGCTCTGTTACCAAACTGAATGAAGTAGTTTTGTCAAGGTTTAGTGTAAGTTTGTTAGTCCTCATCCAGGTAGACATTTTCTGTAATTGGGTATTTACAGAAATGGCTAGCGTGACTGGGCTCGGGTGAGAGAAGACTATGAAAGTGCCCATCTGAAAATAGTGTGGTTTGAGTAATTGTGAAGCATTTGGTAGGTAATTTATGTATAGGAGAAGAAAGAAGGGCCAAGGACACTTCCCTGTGGACACCAACTGTAATGGTTGCGCAGAAGAGTTTGCCCCATTTGCATACACATATTGGCTTCTGTTGCTGAGGTAAGACTTGAGGTAGTTGGGGGAGTGCCCTCTTATACCATAATGTGACAATTTTACGTGGAGCAAGTCATGGTCAACTGTATCAAAAGCTTACGTAAGTCAATGAAGATCCCCAGTGGGACTTCTTTTTTCTCTATTGCAGTGTATATATGTTCTTTGCATGTGTATAATAGCATCATTAGTTTTTTTATTAGGCCTGAATCCAAATTGGCAGGGTTGAGTATGTTTTAGGGGATGAGGTAGGAGTAGATTCGTTTATGAATTAATTTTTCGAAGATTTTTGAGAGAGGGTCTAAACTGGAAATTGACCTATAGTTATTCAACTCTGTTTGGTCTCCTCCTTTATGGATCGGGGTGACCCTTGCTATTTGAGAACTGTAGGGAAGGTGGAGGATTCAATGGATTTGTTAAAGAGTGTTGCAATGATTGGTGATAGCACTTGTGACACTTTTTTGTATATAAAGGTGGTAAGGTATTTAAATCTCCTGCCTTGTTTTTAGTGGGTTGATAATAAGGGAGACTTCGTATGGGTTAGTCGGAGCTAGGAACAGTGTGTTCGGTAGTTGCCAGTGAGGTAGTCATTTGGTGGGGTATCTGAGCTTGGGATTTTATTGGCAAGGTTTTGTCCTATAGTGGAGAAGAAATAATTGAGTCTGTTTGCTGTTTCTGTTGGTGGGAGTTGGGGTTCATCTGATTTTGCTAATTTTATTTCGCTATTTCGTGATAATCTTTTTTGTTCCCAGAATTTCTGATAGGGTTTTCCAGGTCTTTTTTATATCACCTCGTAAGTTGGATAATCTGTTCTCTCTTATTTACCCCTATCTCACCTATGGAATTTGTGCATGGGGCTCAACAACAAGTAACCATCTCAGACCACTAATTACCCAACAAAAGGCTGCAGTTAGAATGATAACAAATTCTCACTACAGGCAGCACACTCCACCAATATTCAATACACTCAACCTACTCACCATACAAACATCCATACTTATTACTGCACCTATTACATACATAGAACACTCAACTCTGATATTAACCCTCCCCTCAAACATCTCCTTGCCAACCTCAACAGAACACATGACCATAAACACAAGGCACAGATCACTCTTTGATATTCCTCGTGTCCATCTCACGCTATGCAAAAACTCAATGCACATAAAAGGCCCTAAAATCTGGAATTCATTACCTGTAAATATAAAAGAAACACTACCTGTTTATAAATTCAAGTCTCTTCTCAAAGATCACTTACTCACCCAAAACCAAATAAATACTGATAACTGAACCTTATAAATTGTATATCTTAAATGTTTCTCACAATTATATCACATAAATGTTAAACCTAAAACCCAATCTAACTTTATTATTTTTAAATACACTACCTAACAGAATACTCCATTCTACTGAATTTACAACAATGCATGCAACCATAGACCTGTCTTTGTAATACTCACTTGTGCTTTATAGTAATCAGTTTACATTAATGTTTTTCACTGATTTCATCATTGCTTAGTTAATCTTAAGTTAATTTTAAGCCAGCCCGTAATGCTATGCATAGTATAAGTGGCTTTGGCATGCTGCTCTTATCTGTATTTTTTTTTGTACCTCTGTAAGTGTGCTCAAATTATAAATAAATAAATAAATAAATAAATACAATTTTTTTGCCCTACTTATCAGGCTGGTTAGGATTGACGAGTAATGTTTTGTTTGGTCTCTGGTTATGTGACCCATTCTGTACTGTTTTTCATATCGGTGCTTTGTATTTATGGATTTGAGAATGCTGGGTGTTAGCCAGGGACTGCTCAGTCTCTTAGCTGTCATCTGTTTAGTTTTTTAGGGCAGTGCTTGTTATAGAGGTATTGGGTCTTTTTTAGAAAATTATTAATACATTCAATATCTGTATAGATTTCTAGCTCAGTTTGCCAGTCAATGTTGTTACTGCGGGTTGGTTTTATAATGGCTGCCTCATTGTGAAGTTTGAAGGTGACTTTATTTTTTTGGGGAATTTTACCAAGATTTGTATGGGGAAATGGGGGTAGTGGTCGGGGTATTATCTGTAATTATGCCTGATTAAAAAAGGGGATTTGTGTTGGTCCAATGGGTCAATAGGAAACACATCTCCAACTTTTGTGGGTTTTGTTACGTTGTCAACATACAGTTACTCATTGTTTTTTGTGAATTCAGAACGGTGGGCCTGGTCTTGCAGGATTTATTTTGAAGTCCCCTTTTGGGGTAGTAAGTGATCTTTGTTCATCGTGCACAGTTATCATATTTCCCTGGGTTTTGACTAAATTGGCTAATGTTTTGACTGGGGAAACTCGGGTTGTTTACAAGTGGGGGTTTTTTTGTGGGTATTTGGATTTGAATTTACTTTTATATTTTCCCCAGTTCTTCCCTTGTGCAATATTTGATACATTCTAGCTGTAAGAAAACATAAGATTTCGTTCTTTTTTAAACCCGGGGGGTTACCCAAACCCCAGGATAACCAGAAAGTCAGTGCGTCATGAGACTGTCAATTATTTCCATTGGGGCCCCAAATTTGTCCCCCAGGATGCGACCCACCCAGTCGACTAACACCCAGGTACCTATTTGCTGCAGGTGAACGGGCAAAGGTGAAGGGAAACGTGTGGGAATTTTCCACCCCCCGGGGAAAACAAACCCCGGGGCCCCCTGTAAGCGGGACTTTGCCACCAGCCACCGATAGTTACAGCTTCCACCCCCCTTGTTGACTTCCACAGTTGTAGGCTGGTAAACCAGAAGGGCATAGACATCTTTTAGTATCAGGCTTTAGCCGGGTTTCTTTATTTTAAAATAAAAAGGACATTTTGGGGATGCAAGAATTTAGTAATGCGGGGTATCAAAATTTGCTTAAAACTATATTGTATTTTAAAGATTTTTATTTTGTTTTTGGGCTCGAAAATGCCTTTGATTGTTCTGCTGGTAGTAATTACGTAACTTTTTAAATCATTTAAGTCATTAAATAGAGGGGGGGTATCAGGATCAATCTTGTAATCATAAGATTTGTGTGAATCTAAGTTAAAATTAAAGTAAAAAACAAAGTAAATTTCAAAGCTAAAAAATCACCTGAATTATTTAACAAATTAAAAAAAGAGCAAAGGGTATTTTTTTAAAAGCTAAAATAAAGGAACAATAAAAAGGGACTAAAAAAATTTTGGGGGAAAAAAAAAGTGATGATCAAATAAGGGAGCTTGGAATAGATAGTAGTTATTTTAAAAAAGGAATTCTTTAAAGTTAGAATTATAATATAAAATTATAATATAAAAGGGGACTAATATAAGTTGTGGGGAAAATAAAGGGGAAATCAAAAAAAATGATTTTGGAATA